AATATGCTGGATCCGTCTCTGACCTTTGGAGCACTTCTGTTAAATGATCCTACAAGGAAGTTTTCTGTCTTTTCAGTAGTCACGCATTCGCTGCATGACAGTAAGTATTGTCTAGAACAATATTGTTTTACCGAGTCGAAAATGAATGCATTTATACGTCTGGTATGCTACATCTTACCGCAGGCTTTTCGAACACAAGAAAAGCAATTTTCCTAAAAAAAGAAATTGAATTTTGAACATTATGTACTCTTTGGCTCACAGTGTATTTGTTTTGCAACCAAATTTTCTATAAGGGCTGATTTGGATCATCACACAATGTTTTTGCGAAGCATAACAAAAACTTCAGCCCTTAGTCTTAACAGTTGGTGTCGTTAAAACGATTTCATTTTGAAACATTTATTATATGAGGATCAATGCATTTCAAGCATGTCTATGCTTTCAAAATCTTCGTTCAATTTCGTCTGCTGACAAAGGTTTTTACTGGCATGGCGGCTCTTCGCTACGAACTTGGAAATATGTTAAAAGAGAAGAAATTAAACCAAGAAGAGAAGTGTCAGCAGTAGGATACAACACGAGAACTACATCGTCTATTACTACACTTATAAGGAAATCGGCAGTTTCTATTGACAGTGTCGCCAAACAGTTTATCAAGACTGCAAGCGCAATTACTAATAAACTTGTGCAACTATGTTCAACTACAGTTAAATTATGTCAGAATTATTCACCTCAACAGTAATTAGGAGTATTATTCTGGGCGTATAACGTCTGAAATCTTGTCAAGTTAACGCACAGACACGGCAGAAGACGACGTCTCGRTACTCGGTTTCACCCTTCGGTTTCATTCTTATCACGGAACTAGACCGAAAAGGATTATGGATAAAACTTTTCCAAACAAATTAAGCACTCGTTKACAAAATGCGATTCATGTTGGGCACCTTTTCTTACTCTTGATGAAACGTGAAGATGCGATTAGAGAAGCATGTGTTCATACTGTTCGCTTTCAAAAGTTTTTATTCAACCCTGTCCTCTAAAAGAATTGTTATGCAAGCATAAGTTGATCTAAAAACCTCAATTTGACACACAACTATGTGGGATAGACTACAATTCCGTATGTCAGTTGTTGTTTTATTGGCGGAAAGGTTAAAAAAGAGGGGAAAAACAGATTCATTTACAACAATAAAACTAACTGACTGAACAAAAGTGTTTTATTGTTTTCAGTAGTGAACTTGAGGGTCAAACGATAACATAATGATTATAATGACATTAATGGCTATTGTCTTCTTTGCCAAATGTGCTGTAGTTTAACATTCGGTACTTACGGATTTAGTYTTGATTCACCGTAAACTTTTACAATAAAATTGCTTCCCTAATATACCTTTTATTTGACCTGTTGCACTATTTACTGGAAACATTAATTAACTTTGTCTGCAAAATTCATCCAYAGTTTATTCCYRATAGCCACCGTATTCATTTCTTGACCAATGTTTTCCAGAGTTCACAGACTGTTTCTCTTGTCACTTGACAACATTCCTCTTTGTTTACTGACCAGTWATCAGATCTTTATCCTCCAATTTCAGGTTCTGATGTCAGGTTGCGTTGAKAACCGCTGACATTCCTCGAAGATAATACGTTGGGTGTTTGCCTTTTTCGAGAAGATCCTTTAACAAATATCATTTAATCAAAATACATAATATACTGAGTTTTTAAGGATTTTTTTAGTGTGTTGTGAATGTGAATAGACCTCTAAAGCTTTTAAGTCATTTACCGTATACGCAATGCATTGTAGGATACATGTATGTTTGGGACATGATTTTATATTTGCAGTAACATTGTATGAAAAAATGGAATATATCATAGCAAAAAGGAAGTCTAGACTGGCCTCACACTTGAGAAAGTATGGAAATATTCGAAATTTTCAATATAGTTAGGGTACCATAGACAGCAACTATCAGAGTCCAAGCCATTTTTTCTAAAAAAAATGTTTGGGGCAGAACATGGMGGATTTCTTTTGTCTTCTCTTGAAACTGATCCCACAATGCATTTAAAATCAAGTAATGACACAAAAGGTCCAGAAGTGCGGGGTCAACGTCTAGTTCCTACTCMTTATAATCTGAGAATAGCTTCTGAAGGCTTTACGTCAGTCTCAATAATGTAGCTAAGTTTGATATTTGAGTGATTTGGTTTTGAAGAAAGCTGACATAGATTWTACCTGTTGTAATACAGACCAATCCTTCTTTGTAGGTTCAACACCAACAACCTCCAGAGCTCTGCTTTGGAAATCTAATTTCTTGATACTGTGATTACTCTGGAACATCTCAAGGAGAACTTCTCTCAGCTAAAACACACAYAATTATCATAAAACAATATGAAGTCAGGTTTAAAAGAGCAAGTAAACTTACATTCCATCGTAAAGAAAGCTTGTATGTTTTTAATATTTTACCTTATCTGTTGAGGCATCGCCTACTGTTTTAAAAGCAAAGAAACGCCTCGACTGGATATCATTTTGAAGGCGAATTGTTGGCCACTGGTTAAAAAACAAAMAGTAATGTTTAGAGATGTGGCACTGCTGTAAACGTACTTGCACAGTGAATTGCAAACAATTTTTCGGTCTCTAGTCTCCTTTGCAGCCTCCCCTTTTGATGGGCTTCCTGTCGCTTCCACTTCCTGTCCCTCCCTCCCCTATTTTTTCATAATTCCAAAACAAATTCTTGCACCTTTATTTGAATTTCCTGTGCTCCAGTWGATAGAATAACATCTTCTAATAATGCATCAGATATTCCTGAGCACAGCACATCTCCAGGYTCACAGGCTACAAAGAAATACACCATAGTCAATATTTCAAATGCACTCAATATTCAGCGTTAATCATATATAATTGACAATATAGATAAATATATTTTCATAAATGACAATATCTTTGGATAAATTAGTCTTGACCAGTATTTGCAGCTAGATGGTCAAGATGTTTCCTKCCTTAAAATATCGGCTAACCAGAGTGTCACAAGTCAATAAAAGTGYATTAATTTCATAATGTAGTACTGATCATGTTGGTGGCTTTCAGATGACATCATTGCTAACACATTGGTGTTTCATAGATGATTCTCATTGTACATGTAGTATCTACAACCAACATGGCTGCCAGTTTGTTGTCTTTTGAATCTCAAGGATTTCATTGAAAACCAGCAATTGCTTGYGCATTAACCATACAATAGCAATTTTATAACACAAGGAGAACATATCATGCCATCCCTTGTCAATTGAACCATGTAGAGAAACATTTCCCTATCCTCTGTTATTAAAACCTGCAACAACTTTTCCAGTGCTAAAATATTTYAACTCCAAATCCACCAAAGTCCAAAATACCTGTCTGCTTCAGAAGTAAAAGTCTTTTAAATTCTTTAAAACTCAAAATAGTTCTATTTAGTTTTGAGCAAACAAAGTCTTGTAATTTAACAAAAGCTTCTTCAAAGTGTTCACTATCCATTGTTAATGGTGTTTTTGTTAAAGTAGAATTCGTTTCATCAGTTCTTGTRACTTCTTTACAGTCTACTTCCATTGGAGATACACTCCTTGGAATGTCATTGTTGTTTATAGTTGATTTTTCATTCAGTACATGATTTGTCTTGGATGCTTTTGTCTTTTTTTCGCTAGGAATATCTACAGAATAGTAAAGAAATATTACTTTATTACCGACATTATTATTGTTATGRAAATTTACTATCATAACATTTTAACAGAGATCCAACAAGATTATCAAAAAACACTGATAGTTATCATAAATTTCATAAAATATTCATATTATAATACAACTAATTCCAAAAAACACTGTCCTAAAGAAATACAATATTTGTACTTAATACATAAAAGACAATGAAAAGTTTTCGGTCTGAGTGAACTTCTTAACTTATATTCAAACTTATAATAAAATATTATTATTTAATTGTCTCTATGACAACATTTTTCAATATTGTGCAAGAAGCTACTCATCGAAATCACAATAGATTCACATATTTTCTGCTATGTATTGGAAAATAAATCAACCAGTAACTAAGATACCTGAAGATTTCTTGTTGTCACTTTTCTCATGAATTTTACTTAATTTGAGCTGTGAAGATAACCTGAAATAACAGCAGCATATTGATATGAACTTTACCAATCAGACAAACAACACGAAATAACACTTCACCATTTTATGCTTCAAAACATGTTATTAAAATGTGGTGTTATAACTTCTGCATCTGCATCTGATTGGTTACTGCTTTCTATAGCTATCCCCRCATTCCTCCCCTGTATCTGCAGTATAAGGTATGGTATTCTTACATTTCATGTTTATTTTCCCAGAATGTATTCTGCTGTTTGACGACATCAGGATGCCTTAAAGATGAAGAGAAAAAAACATAGTCATGTGACAATTATTTGAATAGTTTGATAGTCAGATTTAGATAATGACGTTTTCATGTATTAAGTTAAACCTTTATAAACATGAATAAATTATATGATGCTCTTACTTGTGAATGAAATCTACATCATTAGGTAAAATAAATTCCCAGCCTTGCGCTACTCTCATCCTTGCCATCTAGTAGACAAACAAGGACATCACTGACCACAAACAAGTGTAAATTGATGCATAATTTCAAGCTTTAATATGCTATTAAAAATATGTTTAAATTAAGGTAATTGATTGAGCAAGTCTTACTTGTTCTAAGATTTCTTTAATATCATCATTTGGGAGCTGCATTTGATAAACAAAATAAAACATAAAATATCAATAAGAGTTTTTGGTTACAATATTTGAGTCATTACTGTAGAAAAAGTTCTTAACCTTGGTGATAGTTGCAATGTCTTTTCTTACTATAACTCTACTCTGTGTAAATCGCCACATCTGAAACAACGACAACACTGTCAGTAAACAGCAATGAAAGGCTCAATCATGATCCACAAAATAAATTGCTTGTGTGTTTCCAAAACCAAACCAGTTTTGGCTAGGCTGCATGTGGACTTCAAAAGATTTGGACAACAATTCAAATACAATTAAGTCTAGCATGGAATACTTACAATATAATCTCTGCCTCTACAGAGTATATCTGAAGGTATTCCACTGTTAGGACTCACAGTACCTTCAGGATAAAGAATCTCACTAAAAACAGAAATAAAAAAGTACAAAAACAATGTTGATATTATAGACCATCTTTTATAAATATCACAACAATATCACAAAGCATTAATAAAAAAAACTATATGTTTTTTGAAAAACAAACCTTTTTACAACCCAACAACCTTGAACTAAGACACCAAACTGTTGAGCACATTTTAAGATGGCTGCCTCTTTGCCAACAGGAGATAATAAAGCACACAGCTGAGAGAAATTCATTGCTTTGGCTACATAAGTAGAAACATTGTTAAACTTAGTGTAAGCACTAAAGAAAATGTTTGACTTGACCTTGTGAAATAAATTTGTAAAATAATTCCTGAATTGTGGTGCTATTTGTTTCTTTTTYATTTCAACAAAATTTTTATTTGATTTTATGGGGACTTAAACATTAACAAAATACTAACCATTTTTTAGTAAGGCTTTGACTTGGTCAGGGAGATCCATTTCTCTAAGTTGTGTCATTGATAAAACATTTCTTGGCATTTTAGGCTGAGTACTGTTTAGAAAAACAGCAGAAAAGTATTTTATAGAACCATAAYCCAATCAATAAACTTTATTGTTTCCATGATGTAAATACTCACTTTTCTTGCTTAGTTGATGATGGCATTAGACGCTTTAGATAATCCCTTGAAATATAAATACAATGTACATTGTTAATTCTCTGGAAAAAGTCAAATTATTAATGGTAAGTAGCCCTTGTTTTTTTTTTTTCAATCATGAACTACAGCAATTGATAAATATTGTTTGATTACATACTTTGGTGAAAGAGACATCTCTGGTGCTTCGTTATTGCAATCTTCACAGAATAACTTTAATCTGTCTTCTCTTGCTTGGGAGTCCTTCAGCAAGACAATAAAACTAATAATKATTGGCTGAGCAATATTTATCAAGATATTTTAGAACTAAGCTGGTTTTGGTTGATAGATACAGCTTTTATGAGCAAGGAAAGTTTGAATGACCATTTGACATTAGCACAGACTAAAGCCTGCAATCAACCAAGGTAACATACACTGTAGAACTGTGCAGACCCAAATACATGTACCAGCAGGAGTAGAAGTAATGCMTTGTTACCAAACCTGTGATGAGTGGTATTCCAGATTAATCCATTCTTCCTCCGCTTCCCTTTTTTCCAAATATTTAAATGAAGACAAACGATTAGCCTTAGCTTTTTCTGATTCACGACGGGCAAAGCGCACCTAAAATTATCAAAAGATCATTAAATGTTTACATAGACAATGGATCTTAAATACTTTAAATAATATGATACCACATACAGTTAAAGCTTTGGCCTCTTCTTCCTCATCTTGAGAATCTAAAGAAATACACCTGCATATAGATAAATGATTCTCCTAATGACGGATCTCTCAAAGGGAAGGAGGAGGATGAAAGATCTACGGCACATGAACTCTACCTAATGAACTCTATCCACCCTAGCCTTGGCTTGAAAAGATCATTTTGTGATCTGTTATGCAAATTCTAGAAAGGTCGACAAGGGTTGCTATAAAGGGTTAGGGCTTGGATGGACTAATTAAAAGTGTTGAAGATAGCAAGGTGTTCATTCTGTCACATACAGTAAAAATTATTGTAAATAATTGAAGAATAAAGTTTAATTTATTATATTTCTTTAGATACCTTCATCTTGATTGCCTGCAGCCTGTGTTGTATTTGCTTCACCTTTATTCATATAATCAAAGTTTGGTCGTAACTGRAGCACTCCTTGTAGAGGTGTGATATGCAGTTCTCCTAGAATATCAAGGTTATTTTTGCTAATGAAAATCATAAAAAATACATATCATAGAGTACAAATTCGGATGTTTCTTAGAGCAAACCTTCTTTTAGAATTCCCATAGCATAGCGAGAAGCCCCAACAGATGCTCTGGATGATATGAGCACCTGCTTATCCATTTTACCACTACAAAAAAAAAAAAAAAATAAAATAAAATAAATTAAACAAAGTTATTCAAGTATTTCTATGATGCTTTTCAGATGTATAAACAGCCTCAAGAACAAAAAAGTTAGTTTCTCTTAATGATAATAATTTATATCCAAAGAATACGCACAACTTTATAAAACATTAATGTACAAAATTAACAGATGGTTTGATTTTCCAGTTCCCTATAAGTGATAATTACCTTTCATAATAACCTTCCCCTTCAGCTGTATCTCTTCCATTAACATCTATTGCAATTTGCTCCCCTCTTGCTTGATAGTAATTYTTGCTCCTTGTGTTTAAACTAAGTTCAATYTCAACCTGTCAAACACATCACATATTTCTGCCATTASAATGAGTGGCCAGGAGAATAATTTTTCATGCTTAACTTACTTTTTGTTGCTGTGGTTTTATTCTTGCTCCGACATGAGGAACATTATCGTAAGATACTTCAGCTGGTCGAACYGGGTACTGAAACAAAATATCATCAGTGYGCGTGAGTATTTCTTGATAATTTTACATTGTGAAGTTTACTGTTGTGTTTTGTTAACACCTGCAAAAGATCATTRAGATTCAAATAAAAAAGGACAGGAAATATCAGTGAATAATTCATAGTAATCATATTAACATGAAAAATGTGTTGAATTCCAACATAGTTAATAGAGGGGACTAGTCCCCTCTATTAACTATGATTCCAAAGAGTCCACCAATATCCAAAATACTGTTTACAAAGATTTTGAAATTTAACATCTCTTTGCATTTTATTTGTTCATGGCAATTAAGTTATCTAAAAATGTTTCTTAGAAATACTTAAGAAATTTTAAGTCCACTCTGAGAAGTTCTTTAAACTCTTTTGTGAACTTTTAAACTTATACCCTTTTCACCATGCGTTTCAAACCAGACTACAATCTTACGTTGAACCACACTTAATCAAATACATCACAAATCCTTTAAAACGGATAGAACAAAMCAACCCTTCTATCTACAAATGTACCGGTTTTTCTAAATAAAACACGGGTTAGTTTGTGGTCTAACGTCAAATCGAATTAGAAGTTTAAGCAAGCTTAATAAAATTAAAAGCAGCGCTGTCGATTCTTACTTGAAAGAGATACAAATTCTTGGACAAAGCCTTTGCTAAGAAGACATCCACCTAATATCAAATCAATATACATATCTCAKTATGCTCAAAATAGACATGTCTTAAAAGACTGACTGATTTTTACCTCACTAACAACCGGGTCATCTTCTTCTTCGTCCGCCATTTTGTTTTTTGCAAGTGCACATGCGTAGAACGTCTAAAATCGTATTTTTGGTACCCAGAGTACCTCGGCCGTTGCTTTGCATAATTGGAGACCTAACCAGTCAAAAATGTGTGATACAGAAACCTCACTAAGTAAGGTCAATATTCCTATTTAAGAATGCTTATGAAAATGAGCAAATTGACATCACTGTCTTCTCGCAGTTGTGCTTAGTTTCAAGTATGAATTTGGAGAGATGTACTGGACCCCAAAAAATACACAACTTTTACTAATAATTCTGGCTATTAATGAATACAAAACCAAAAAAAATGTAAATAGATGAACAACTTTATTTCATATACATTTTATATAAACATCCAATTTACAACATGTTAAGGATCTTTTTCTGGAATTTGTGGTGCCATATTAATTTTAATGATTTTGAAAATCCGTCCTATTCATTCTCATATCACATGTATTTCAATAACAASATCAATGGTCACTTTTCCTTCCTYTCTTCTTTTGTGATGCAAATTTCTTTGTGGCTAAACGTCTTTCATTAAAGTTTCTTGCCCTAGGAAAAAAACAGGTTTTTAGCATTATTTTAAAATATAATTGAATCCTAATTTGGTGATAATTGTAATTCATACAATATTTTGATGTGGTCTTGCTGCTGCTGAGATGGTCCTGCAGGAACAAATGAAGCATCTTTGATTATGGTTTGCAGTCTGGATATTGCATCTTTAACGTTTTTTAGTTGAGATCGAAACTGGGTAGAGGTCAACACCAATTCACCATTCTTGTTCACTCTGTTTCTCTCCTTGAAAGCAAAGCAAACAGATATTTTGAATAAAAAATGCAACACCATCATGAAAATAATGCTTATAAAAGGATAATATTATATCTATACCCTTTTAAGAAGTTTCTCTCTAACTTCTTCTGGGATCCAGTCAGCAGACTCAACATGAAAACGAATTTCAACTTTGGTGTTTACTTTGGAATAGAAAGAAAAACCAATTTGTTATTGTTTTAGAATTGCATGGTTGTGCCAAGGATGCCTAACRTAGTCAAAGCCAAAAAGGTGCTCATAGTCTCATAGGTGCTCATGGTCATATTGATTTATTGGATAAGAATATCATTTATTTGACTGAACTGTATGAATAATATACCTTTATTGACGTTTTGCCCACCAGGACCTGAGCTTCTAGCAAACTTGATTGTAAGACGGTCTGAGATTAATAAGATTCTTCATTAAACTGACTTCATATAGTTTTGACAAGACAATATTTTCCATTGTGCTGGTATTCGATGTCTCAAAAAATACTCTCAATGCTTGACATCACAATGGAGATTTTGGAAATTCATCCATACAAACCTTGTGGGACTGGTCCAAGAAACTGGTATTGCCCACCAGTAGGTTGCTATCRAGGAAGATAATAATGTTATAAGCTAACACGAAAGTTATTTTTTGATGGCGGAGACAAGATCGACAGTCTCCAAAGATGTTGCTAAAATCAGAAACAACTTTACCTCAGTAGCCTGYAAAAGTCTTGAAATATGAACAAACTTGTATTGCTTGATTGGCTGGCCCAAAAACCCTGAATAATCTCTGATWACACCCAATTTTAGAAAGCGACGAACAAGTCTAAACATTTCGTGTAAGCCGCCATTTATTTTACCCAGAGTGCAACACCACAGGTATCCCACAAATAAAAGTAGGCGTAGTTTTATTATATAATTCTCTACACATTTACCAAAATATTGTTTCTTATATATTAACTAATTATTACAATTCTATAAAAACAACATATATTCTACAAGTTAGTCTGCCATCAAATAAGCCAGAATTTTTCTCTCCCCAGTAAAACTCAGTCTTCCGTGGAGTGCATTCATGTTGTCCACAATAAGCATGTCTCCAGTCTTCCACTGAAATGCATRYGYACTGTGCCACATACAAGCACGAATATGCTGAATGACTTCTGGCTCAATTGGGCTGCCATCTCCATACGTGGTATTCCAGGAATAGACTGTGTCCAGTTTGTCTTCGCCAGGATACATAGGTGACTCCTTCAAACCTGAAGAATGTGTTATGTGAACAGAGTTRAACCATATTTTCTCTCCAGTATCTGGATGKGGCATGAAAGCAGGTAAAGTATTCCAGAAAGACATGGTGCTGTTGCTCTCATCATATGAATATCCATAACCACCCTTTTCCAGATAGTCTTTGACTTCCTACATAAGAAAATGTTTATATGAAAAAGATTTTCCTGAAAAAAACATCAAAAGTTTACATGAATTAACTACCTGGATATTGTCAGTCTTGAATGTCTTTTGCCAGGACATATAAGAGGATTTAGAGTCATCTGGCAATCTGTGAACATAACAGATTTGTTTTTCTTCCAGCTTTTTTATCATCTCAGGATCCAGTCTTCCCACAAATTCCTTACTGTCGCAGATTACAGTAAACCCTCCACAACCCTCTGCAGGTTCTTGAAGACAATAGAAAATCAGCTAAAAAAAGACAAGATCAACTGTCAGATCAGAATACAATTAGAATTGACTCCTTTGAAACCAATGAATATTTTTGTATGCTTGCAAAATCTACAATGCAATGATAATCTAACCTTTCTTGGGTACACAGGCAAGTATCCCAGCTCATTGTGCAGTTCAATGGTAAATTCAGGGGGTTCGTTGCTTGCTGTGTACACTGTGGCCTTCTCATCATGAAGGCTACGATCTGCAGCACCTCCCCCTGGATAGCTCATAGGTGTATATGGYAAACTCTTGGAAAACTCTGAAATATTCTCGTTCTTACCAAGTGGGAGGCCTCGTAGTACCATTGTTCCATACTTAGAAAGATTTTCATCTATAACTTGGCTAGCAACTTTTGCCCATTCAGACAAGGTTTGGTTGCTAGTAGGCAATGCCTCAAGTGCAWAGGGGAATCCTTCTCTGGCTTTATTCAAGTATTTGGGGAAGCCTTCTCCTTGTGAACCAGGCAGCCATTTACGACCAGCAATGTTATAATCCTTCTTTGGTGAAATCTCTTCAGGGCTTAGTTTTCTGAAATGTTTGTCCACAAGGGATGCAAAGCTGCGACGAGACAAGTGATAGCTGTATTGCAGTGACACAATTGGTCTTCTRAGGAAGGCTAAGCTTGCCATATATTGCTATAGCTAAAAGGAGAAATTTATTGTTGAAATAAGTATCTTAAATCTTTTACACAATTTTTTGCCAGTAGTTTTGATTTGAATGTTATTGCTGAAATCTGAAGTCTAATCCCAAACAATTTTATTGAATATCGTGTGACCGTGTGTGCGGTTTTAGMGGTCAGAAGTATGCCTTGGATAACGCCTCATATCAAAACGCTGGAAATGAAATTCCGAGAGTTTAAGATTTCAAAATTTTCCGGGGGGAATACCCCCGAACCCCCCAGTACCTCCTGTCTTTGGCAGTCGCTAGCCCCTCCAAACAAATTCCCGCTCCGCGTCCCTGCGACAACATCGCCACTTTGTTCTCGCGCACCTCAAATAGTACGTGTAAACAGCCCTGCGATTGTCGAGGCCATTTTTGATCGCCGCGAGTTTCCGAAACTAGGCGATTGTCGCGCTTCAAAAATCGCAAGTGTAAAACGGGCCTTAAGAGTCGACCTTTAAAGCGTCCTTTCAAACTCACTGTGAAGTATTCGTGGAAAATTATAAACATAGCTGTGGAGAATCAAGGAGAATTTACCTTCAAAGAGAAGTCTAGCTGACGGTCCAAAGAACTATAAAATTCCCTCGAGGACGATAGCAAAGTTTCGAAGATTTCATAAGTCTATCACGCGGTTCTTTGAACGCCAGCATAYTTATCCATGAAAACCCGTTCAGGACTAGATTTACTTGATTTTAACTAGCTTTGAACAGGAATCGTAAAGTAATCTTGGTATTGGGTTACCGATAGACGAGCTACAATTGTAGCTGGCCCATGTCCAGGGTCACTASACCAAAAGGGTCCGTGTACGTACTGYGTGACCGGAAGTACTGCGTGACTCTAAATGATTGAGCTGGGCTTGCACAAAAAGAAGGAATTTGCTTCGTTTTTTAAACACTACATAGAAGACCAAAAACAACAAGCTATCATATGCTATAATACTTTAAATTTCTATTTTTATGCTCATGCTTATTCTCTGCATGGAATAAACTTGATTACATTCCCTCGTAATGCAGAATACATGATGCTGATGCCAGGCAGAAAACTCATTCATATATTAATAAAATTATT